CTGCAGATACTCGCGCACCATCTCCGGACACGTCCAATTCCACCCCCATAGGAGAAAATCGAGCTTCAGCCTCAACAGCACATCTTGAAATGCGCGTAGACCGATCTGCGGCACCCTGAGTGGAGACACTCGCAGCTGGGGAACCTTCGACATTGCGTTGCCTGCACACACACAAACGTTCTCCCTTTCGCTTGCTCTCTCACAATCGCCACTGCGCGTCGGCCACTCAAGCACTGACTGCTCACTCTCTCTGCGCTCGTTCAAGATCGCTACTCACAATTCTTTCAAGGTCCGCCAAGATCCTTGCGCAACTCGTCTCCGCACTCTCTACTCTCACTGCAGGTCGCTCCGCCCTTGCGCGTAATCTTGGAACTGGAAATCGCAAAGTCAAGAATGAGAGAATGAGACTGGAGCGCAGTCTTTTCTTCTCCGATTTCAAGAACGTCCAACGTTCTTACTGGTTGCAACGTACGCAGCCGGCTATACGGCTTAACGGTTCGCCCTTTGCATGCGCGAATTCACGTCTCCGCATTGCGCGCATTCGCATGCTTAAACGTTGAATTCTCCCGCCGCCGCCACCTTCCGGACTCGAGTCCGCTGCAGGGTATACGTCGGCCCTGTTGTCTTTTCCTAACCCGTCCTTCACCGGAGGCGTGTCGTCGCTGGTGCGTTCATTATCCGTCGGCGCCTTGCTGGAGGCGCACATCCAGCCGGAGCGAATTACGCCGGCGCGCAGTCGTACCGCCTATTTTGTCCTTTATGCCTCGTCCGTTGCTGCCGGCGCATATCCGTCAGCGCAACTCATGCCAGCGCATCCGGCCGTCAGCGCCACGTCGGAGGCGTACATCCGACCGGCACTTTCCTTCCATGAACAGCCGCCAAGGGCGCTTCCGACTCTGAGTTGGTTTCCTCCTGTGAGCGCGTGATTCCGCCGAAGGCGCATCGCCGAGGGCGTACGGGAATCCTTTCCGGCTGTGAACCCTAGCGCGAACGGCGCATGTCCGGCTACGAGTTTTCCGACGCTCATAACTTCTCCATTCCTGATCCATCTCCGACGCTCTTGGACTCGTTAGAACGAGCGTCTCGATCTCTTTCTAATGCAACTTCAACCAACTGGATCTACCGTGTATCCCGATTGTTATGAAGGTTTTCCCTTTCCGCGCTAGCGGCGCTTCGCCGAAGGCGCACTCATGGTCGGATGCCTTTAGAGGTCCGGGCCCTTCTCCTGACGTCTTTAGCAAAACCTCCTCCTGAGGTGTCTGCGCCGGAAGCGTAGCTTCCTTATACGCTAGAGGCGCGTGAGTAGAGACACCTCAAAAAGGAGCTTTTGCCGAAGGCGCCGAAGACGTTGGCGTTGGTACATCCGACTACGTGATTCTTTGTGCCCTCGTGACGATCTCATCAATCCACTCTATTTAGCGTACCCTTCTCTAGCTACAAACACTGCTTTGGTACTAGTTTTCTAAAATTGTTTAAATTCTGCAAAAAAAACAAAAAGTGTGTTACCACAAACAGCGATGTCTCTTGTTAAGGATCTTAGCAAAGGACCAGAACGTGATCGCGGCGGGAAACGTGCAAGTAAGATCGTTCCCAAGCATTTTCTTTGAGCTTTAATTTTAACTGAAATATGTTGTATCAAAATGATAATATCTGCGATTGGGTTGCTATTATTACAGATAGGAGAACTCGTTCTTCAGATGGTAACATGGATGTAAGCATCAAGAGAAAGCCACCTGGTGAGAGGACACGACGTGCTAACATATGGCGATGAGTTGAAAGTCGTACGTGGACTTCGATACTGGTTAGTTTCACTTACAAAAGTCTTAAATGGCAATTTTCATACTTGTTTTTTTTCCCACTCTACCTATATAGGCTCCAATGTGGCTCAAAAGAAGTGGTATGGGGTTTTTTCTCCTCATTTCTTCCTTGTAGTTGGTGTACTTGTCCTACTTTCGAAGAGGAGGCGGATAATTATATGTATTTTCAATCGGTGTTTCAGATCGCTATGCTTTTGCTTCAGTAACAATGGTAGTGTAGTTGCTTCATTTTGGAACTCGAAATCTGCTGATGTCAGTCTGAACTGGATCCTTAACGTATGGTTATCCTTAACGTATTTATAAAATCACCGTTCTTGGATTCTGGGACGGTAGATCAGTATCTGATTATAATTTTGCTTTTTCTGATGCAGCTTTTATGGTGCCAACGAAGGATGCAAGTGCGATGACAAGTCCTCATGCAACCCTTGCAATTGCAAATGAGAGAGAACAATGAATCATTAGTATGACATTGTGATTACTGGGATCGTCATATTTTAATAGATGCACGTGGTATCCACAAACAGACATCTCGACTAGAACTCAAAGAAGTTCAGGTCTCGCCGGTCGCGTGAACTGTCATACTAGTCTTGCGTATATGGCGTGTATTGTGGGAGGGCGTTTCTATCTAAGTGAAAGTTAGCTCTAGAACGACGACTTACATATCGTAGCGGCCGAGCTACCCCCAGGTCATTGTAGTCGGTCTGCATGGTCAAGTGATCTTTCTGAGATGTCGAGAGATTGCAACACGTTCGTTGGTTCGGTTCGAGTTGACAGGTTGAACTTGTATCGTACCGTAGATCATGCAGTCAATCAGTCTACTCTCGGGTTGAGTTGGCCGATTACTTCAGTTACTTAAAAGTCAGCTGCTCGAGTCAAGCAAGATAGGTAAATGATAGACTTCTGATACAGGCATCTCCTTTCGCAACCATTTGATGGCCAATTGCAGCAATGAATCGTATGGATGTACGTTATATGTGGAGTTGTCCACGGAGTTCAACTGTTTTCTCTTTTGATGTCTTAGTCTGGAGATATAGTTTTCGGCATACCATCACCTAGCCCTGGCCTCCTGCTCGGAAGCAGCCTGCGGGGTGAATTCAACCTCTTGGACGATCTCGTCTAGATCCGGACTTGACATGCATCTATCTGAATGACCAGCTATGCCAATAAGGATAAAGAAGCCTTTGTGGTAAGTATCGTTGAGTGGTGAGAGATTGGAGCTTTTGAGCTTTACCTTTATGTTGGTATATTTGGTGATATCTGGTAAAGGAAGCTCCATCGCTGTGGCCAGGGCTTTGACAGAGAAAGGCAGAAAGTCACCGGTTGTCCATCTATCTTATGCGCAAGCTGGAAGCCTCGAGAGAATAGTGGTCAGGGTTTAGTATATGACCCGCCTTGGAGGTGTTTACAGAGTTCGTGAAGGCTTCGTGCTAGAAGCTTTGAGCTAACATATTGAAAATCTGATGCAGCTTCCGTTTTAATGGCTGTGTTGATCGTTCCACTAAGACATCTTCTTCAGTGATGTCTCTTGATTTGAGAAGGTAAAATGTCCCAGATATCAAACTACATTCTTCAAGAGATGATCGATCGGACCGCATCTGCACTCTGAATCGCACCTAGCCAACTTCGTGTTCTTGTTAGCCTATCGTTCCCAAGATTAAGATTTGAGGTTACGAATTTGATGTTCACTTGGACTTGTTTCACATAGTCAATCTCTGTAAGAAGTATGGCTATTAATTTGACCGTTTGCGTTTTGCCGTCTTTTCCTGGACAGATAAAAACTAACAGTCATGATTTATAAAGCGTTCAGTCTTCGGTTGGCTCTGCAATCGTGGTTATGGCAGATCGAAATCATAGAAACGTGTCATTCCACCTGATGAAATGTGGAATTCTTCCTCACAAAAATAAACGATGCAAAGAGGTTGTATTTTACCAAATTGATATTGCTGGCATCCCCTGATCAGCTCCCGCACACTTTTCGCGAGTCATCCGATCTACTAGATGATTCATTCGAATTGTGTTTCACATATATGGAAAAGCATTCATAAGCTGGCAGGCATTCGTAATCGCAGCAACTCACAAAACTATGATAAGAGAAAATGTTCCTCTATATTGAGAAACTTTTTGGACCCGTGAAAACCGTAGATATGTATTCGAGCTTATATGCAGCTCTCCACTGAGAACCTGTGACATAATTAATACTCTGCTGTAGATCATACTGAAACTGAAATGAATGTAACCAGATAGAGAGGACCCGTCAAGATATTAAATTCTGCACGCCTCCTTATTACCAGTTTTCTAGACAGAGTGTGACTAGCCCAGTAATACGTGTAGGGCATGAATCTCATATTTTTTCTGCTGTAAATTTCACTCGGAATGATCTGATCCATCTGAGGTCCAAACTTTTGACCTCTCAAATAACCAGTTCTACAAACTCCTCGTATGCTCATAAATTATGGGCTTTGCAAGTTCTTCTTGGCAATGAAAATCTTCTTACAAAAGATACCCTCAATTCATGACTTACTGATCATGAGTGTTACGGACTTAACCAAGAATCTCAAGTGCGTTTTTTCTTTTGTAGCTTTAAGTACAGCACTTCAAGAATCGTCTCTTGTATATGCGAGTTGCTTTGGTTTGACCATCAGCCGGTCTTGATGTTGCTGGAGTGGAATCAAATATCGTCCTCTTCAGTGCATAAATTTGTTCTATACCAGTATACCGAGGAAGATAGTTTGCCCATTCCTGCGATTTTCAGATGAGTCATTCATTCCGGTTGAGGGCATCCCATCTACATGGTTGCCGGGTCCGCCGACCCTCCCGGCAAAGTGTTCTTATAGTCCATCGTTAGATCCGTCTGCCGGAAAGCGGAGCGATCTAATTCAATCACTTTGATGCTCCACCGGAAAATTGAGTGCCAATGAAAAACCTGCCCGGTTAGCCTGCCCGCACAATCTTCCATCTTTGGTCCAAAAGAGGAGAGTCGCAGCGAAAAGAAGAACTTCCGTCACGGGTCACTGCAGGATGACACCTGCCTGGGTCTATGAAGGCCCTATATAGGGGCTATGTATAAGTTTGTGCAGCTAAACCCAAATGTAGTAGGCAACTAGCAAGTAACTAATCTAACTAGCAAGTTCTACGAATAGGTTATGCAGATGCTTTAAATTACATAGAGTAATAAAATATGTGACCCTTGTATAACTCACGATCGGAATACAGTTGCTTGAAATTAGACGCGGCATAAAGTAAATGAACTCTTGTTCAAGGTAATTACTGATCTCCCTACGTCAGTGGCTCAAGGGCACACGCAAAGGTAATCTCAATTGAGATATCTGGAAGAGAACATAGGGTACTGAAGACCTAATCTAGGAACTTGAGATACTGCATGAGCTCACGTACGCACTATCGAGGCACCATAACTGAGGCTTGTGAATCGTTGGCAAATGATGACATTAAAGCAAGTTCGACTGATTCTCCTTGAACGCCTTGTCTACTAGGATAGGTATCCACGTAGTGTTCGTTCTCTGATATGCTCAACAAGTATGGTGTCTGGAATTTTAGCTCGTTGACGATGTCCACAGCTACACTTGCATTTGAGTTCTTCATGAGGACGTTCACCAGTTGACACATCGTTGCGCGTTTCTTGGGATCTGTTTGCAGACAAGACAGAGCCATGTCCACCACGAGCAGGACTTCTTCTTCGTCGTAATTGCCCTCCAGTCTTTTATCGACCAAGTTCAAAACCTTGCCTTCCGTGTACAACGTTATAGCCTGCGCAATTCATGAGGGTGTGAGAGGCCGAAGAGGAATATCGCAGTGATCAGATCGCGCCTGTATTCTGATGAGTGAAATTGGCATGAGTAGCAGAGAAAGGAGGAAGATGAGTATCTACTAAAAGCCTGAAGCTTTATGAGCTGGATTTGGAATGATCGTGCTATAATGATGAAATGTAATTTAACAATCACCCACCCAGGAGCGTAGAATACTTTGTTCCTGTGGCAACTTCAGATCGATGCACTGTCTTCCAGCAACGATTTCCAGCAAGACAACACCAAAGCTATACACATCCAGTTTCTCGGAAACGACGCCTTCTAGTGCATACTCTGGTGAAAAGTAGCCCCTGTATTTGCATGTTAGTGCCGTGCTCTAAGGGCATACCACATTCAAGTCTCACCAATTGAGTGCAACAGTCGTCTATTTGATACACATGAACCAATTCGGCCTGTAGATGTACCTCGTTCCTCCAATGTTCATGGTGAATAGAGTGTGATTTGAATCATTAGCGGGCCGGACGAGTCCAAAGTCGGCAATCTTTGCGTTGTAATTCTTGTCCAGAAGAATGTTTTCCGGCTTTATGTCTCTGAGAGTTCAGAGACAGGTTCAGGGTTTAGGGTATAAAGCGGAGAAATCAAGCACCTCAAAATAAGCACTTAACGAAGCACAAGCATGCAGAAAACTCCAAGATATGTGCCTTCGGATGTCTTCACGGTATAATGCACAAGTACAAGCTGCACGAGATACCGTAAATCTTGGGCTTTTGGTCTTAAAACACATGCCCTTCCCATCTCTTTAGATGTGTTATACACAGAACAGAATCAAAACATTGATGGTTTGCAGATGAGGTTAGAGTCTAAGCATTCTCACCTGTGAATCATACCCGGCTGCAATTCTTCATGTAAGTACGCGAGTCCACGGGCTATGCCCAAGCATATGTTGTAACGTTGTTTCCAGTTCAAGACAGTCGCACATTGAGGACCTGAACCTGTTGGTCAACGGCATCATAAAACTCTCAGATAATCAGCATATTCTTCGTAGTATTTAACCGCATGCTCTCTATTCTATTATACAAGTGAGTCCGAAGACAAAAACTCTCCCCTTCTTAGTCCCACATACGAGTAGGTTACTTAATATCCGATACATCCACTTGAACCCTTCGCAATGAAAGCTCAGAATCCTCAAAACAGACAATGGAGCCCATTATTCTTGCTCGCTAGCTTAATATACATGAAAAAACTTCTATCTATTGTGATTCTAGGACATACATTATCATTGAAGGACTCAATATTTTCTCACCAAACAGTGCTTCTGCGAGGCTCTTGTTCTCCGCGTATTCGTAAATCAGCATTCGTTGGTGATTCCTTACACAACATCCCTTGAGTTGAATCAGATGTCTATGTTTGATACCAGAGATGTTCACCATTTCTTTCAGGAAGTCCGACGTACTTTGCTTTGTCGGAGTGAGTCTCTTCACGGCAACAATAGTCCCATCTGCTAGTTCAGCCTGTCATAGACATTTACCTGTTACACTTCGATGGGCTCCCTCCACTTTCTACACTTTCCTAGTGAAACAGATGACTGTAAATCCAGGATACTAGACTTACTCTGACAGAAATAATGAATGAAATTTCACTCCCATTGTTTATAGAGGCTTTAGAGATGTGCATATGACAATATCAGGAGTGTATTACCTTGTAAACAGTGCCAAATCCACCTTTTCCTAACTCGTTGGAACTTGAGAAACTCTGTGTAGCCGTTTTGAGTTCAACGTAGCTGAAAAACGGTGGCTTCACGTGCTCTTTTGCTAAAGCTGAGTAAAGTCAAGGGTACTAGCGTTAACTCGATAAGAAGGAGCAGATTTTTCCACTCACAAAGTGGAAACCAAGACATCATTCTCAAGACGGTGAGCCAAGTGACTCCTCAAAATCCTGTTCTGACAACTGACCTTCTTGTATCTGTTGAAGTTCACGACTGCGTCTTCTCATTTTCCACGTGAAGAATATGATTAAACAACTCAGAAGTAACACGAAAATTCCAGATACCATGCCGGCGGCAATTAGTATTCCTGTTTGGACACCATCGTGTGCTGCGTATGTTCACATACAACACCAAATTTATGATGAGAATTGATGTTTGTGAAGGTAGAGTTTCACATAACCAGATATTTTCAGCCAGCATTCTTGCATGACACAAGACTTTCAAAACGTGCCTATTCAATATCTGAAGATAGTCCATAAGATGTTCCAACGAATTTTGATATTGGTTACAGTAACGAAATAGTGTTCAAGCTCGGAACTCACATGGGGACGGCCAGAAGTTCTCATGCTCGTCAGATCGGCACATGTATTTTTTGATGAACGCTAGATTCACTCCCTCATTATCATTCAGGCACCACGGATTATCTCCAAGCCTTTGAAATTACAACGAGTGCGTTTCAAAGCAGTTTTCTCTAAACAGAAAATCCATCTAAGCAGCATTATAATAATCATCAAATGAACAGACTTTGACATACGGGTACATAAAGAAGTTGGAAAAGGAACACCTTTAAAGATAACCCAGATTATTTGCATTTGGTCTAGACAACATCTGGACATCTGAACCAGGTCAGAGAGTAAGAAGGCTTATTACTTACAAGATAAAAGTTTGTGGAGACTGTATCGAGAGGAGCTGCTCAGATAGTGAAAGTGGCGCTACTATTTTACTCTCTAAAGTATGAAGGCTCGGTGAGATAATGCGGTGTATTTGATTTCCAGCCAAACGCAGCTGAAGTCGAGGAGCATCGAGACTTTTGCCTTCGGCAACCCTCTTATACCATGTTGTAAGATTCAATTCCACAAAGCTGTTGTTTCTCAAATTCCTGAGTGAACAAACTAGAAATACTTCAATAAAGTCTCGAGGATCGACACTTCCATATACAGAAGTTGGATTAAAAGGTTTTGAAATGTTGATAGATACTTCATCGAACATGAAATCTATTCAGGAGTTATTTTACTACTCAAAATCAACATCCCATTCTCAGTCATAAGGTAAAGACTATAATATCAAATATTGTCTCTACAAATATGGAAATCATCCAGCCACATGCATTGTCGCTGTCCTTAGAATGGCAGTAATGAAATTCAAATCATACAGAAATGACCAGTTATCTTGCTTGTTCCAACATACTTTAGCAGTTTTCTCTTGATATAATTGAATCAACATCTAGTGACTTCGCTACATTATCTACTGATATGATACGACGACTGAGAACTGCGTACTCACACAAATTGAAGATTGCGATTGTTATATATGCTGTCAGGCCAGATGCTGTCAGGCACTGTACCTTTCAGTTTATTAAGGCTCAAGTTCCTGAAATCACGATTCTGTTCCTCAGTCTCATGTAAACAGTAAAAAGAAAAATATTTCTCTACTGCGAGGAATCCTAACGTCAAATTTTACTTTGTTCAATCAGAAGGTCCAAGTCTAGTTTAACTCTAATTGAAACGTGTACTTACAGAGTTTTCAATTTCCTGAGCTTACTGAAGTTGACTGCTAACTCGCTCGACAATTGGTTGTTGGACAAATCCAAATTCTCCAAGTTTTCTAGCAGTTCCATATTCCCAGGTACGGGTCCGACGAAATTGTTATTGCTGAGGTCTCTGCAGGCAACACAAGTTTTATATTTGTCTCCTATATTCGATTATAAAACTTTGGTAAAATTCTCTTGGAGATGTTTAAATACAATATCTTCGAACAGTACAGGATATTAATTCTAATTGAGTGACAATTCGGACGGAATGTCACTGGATATGGGACCAACAATACTAAAAAGCGGTCTCAAAATGTTATAAAACTCGGAATAGAAACTGATCATTCAACTTACATGTTTTGAATCTATTCGTCTAATGCTTCCATTAATGAATCCAATGACCTCGCTACATTGACTACTGATATGATACGAGGACTGAGATCTGCGTACTTACACAAATGAAAGATTGCGACTGTTCCAAATGCTGTCAGGCACTGTACCGTTCAGATTATTAAGGCTCAAGTTCCTGAAATCACGATTCTTTTCCTCAGTCTCATTTAGAATCGATATACTTTTAAACAAAAAAAAGAAAAATATTTCTCGACTGCAAGGAATCCTCACGTCAAATTTTACTTTGTTCAATCAAAAGGTCGAAGTCTAATTTATCTCTGATTGAATCGTGTACTTACAGAGTTTTCAATTTCCAGAGCTTACTGAAGCTGACTGCTAACTCGCTCGACAATTGGTTGTTGGACATATCCAAATTCTCCAAGTTTTCTAGCTCTTCTATATTCCAAGGTACAGCTCCGACGAATTTGTTATTGCTGAGGTCTCTGCAGGCAACACAAGTTTTGTATTTGTCTCCTAAATTCGATTGTAAAACTTTGGAAAAATTCTCTAGGAGATGTTTAAATACAATATCTTCGAACAGTACATGATGTTAATCCTAATTGAGTGACAATTCTGACGGATTGTCACTGGATATGGGACCAACAATTCGAGAAGCATTCTGAAAATGGTATAAAATTTGAAACAGAAACTGATTGTTGCACTCACAAGTTTTGAATTGATTCGCCTAATGCTTCCATTAATGAATCCAGTGTCCCTCTGAACATATTGCTCGACAGTGATCTACAGTAATATTAATGGGAAGGTAATTAGAATGAACAAAATCATCTTCCCTCCATGAAGAATAACGACTCAAACAGTTTACCTCATTCCAAGTTGTCTTCCAACTCTAGCTAGCTACGCCATCTAACTGAATAACAACATTTGACATTAAGTTGACAAAACTGATGCCAACGATGCTGACGAGTTGATTAGTCTCGTAATTTGATTTCACCTAGAAAAAATGTATAAGTCAAAAGGATTCAACCTATAGTTATCTACGAACTTTGTCAATATTACTGAAATTACGATAGATCTTACTTGCGTTGTGAGATGTTGAAGAACTTACAGCGTTACCAGATTGTCAAGTGATTTTGGACTGAATAATGGTAACTCTCCATGCAGCTTGTTGTGTCCCAAGTTCCTAAAGTTGGCAAATTGGAAACTTTAGATCCATGCAAATGATGATGGACGTTGTCCTCAAACTTAAAAAGTATACACCTTCAATCAAAGATTGATATGAAATTGCTAAAATTACTGCAATGATCACAGCCAGTATGGCACAACTGATGGAACCATTGTCATCATAGAGACACCTGCTTTCATCTATGTCATCCGAAGCGCGAGTGAGTAGGGTTCTTACAGTTCTCTGAGTGTGCGGATTCCTCCAAGAGAATCAGGAAAATACCCGTCGAAATTGTTTTCAGACAGGTCCAAAATCGTCAATTGACTCAGTGCTCCAAGTTCAGTAGGCAATACACCGGCCACACCTTCGCCAGTAAGATTTCTGTCAGACAAACGGACCTGTCAAAGGAAGCTATATACTAATCAACAAGAAGACAAAAACTGTAGGGATCTGATGTGACACATCCTTGGGCATCTCATCTTAGAAACAGTCACTAGGGATATTGGCTTGCGTCCATTGAATTTCTAGTTTGACAAGTCCAAGACGGTCAGACGACTTCACAAATCAAGGTCCAACTCTTCTCACACGGCTTCGAAGTGAGGTTTCTGCAACGTCAAGAAATTCTTATTCATGTCGTCGGTGCGTGGCAAGGTTTAATCTCAATATACGCACCTTGCAAGATTTGAGCTGTATATGGTCATTGTCAGAAGGAGATCAATTCTTGTGTTTCTATATATGTAGATTCTGTCAATTCTTGTGTTGCTACAGATGTAGATTCTGATTGTGTGATCAGTACCATTGTAAGGAATTCGTGGACTACAAACTTACATTTGGGTTATTGTAGGGGGCAACTCGATACTACAAACTAGCCAGCCCCAAGGAACTGGCAAGCACGGATCGCCAGCTGTGTCTACAGAACTTGATGCGAAATTGGGAAAAAGCTTCATGACTGCATCCACTGAGAAAGTTTGAAGAAACAAAACCGTATTAATTTCTCAGTCATTCAATGACTTTATATTCCAAGCATAGCTGTCGGTAAACAATCGACATAAATTCCAAACTGTGGCCTTCACTTACCATCAAGTTTTGAAGTTCTCACTGCCACCGCTGAAAACTCACCATGAATCTCGGCTGCATTTACCAGAACAGGTGCGTCTGTGGTTTCATTTGGTTCAATTCTGATTATAAACGAATCGCTACGGATGTCCTGGCCGGTGTTCAATAGCTGAACAAAACTGGGAGTTGTGTATGCCTCAACCGCCGACCAGATCCAAGCTAGATCACCGTCGATTAGACTGGCCTTTAGATGAGGATTCACATCTCCAGAAACAACGTTTGAACATATCATCTGGAACCAGAATGTTGGTAGTGGACGGAGGGCTCTAGCGCTCTTCACATTAACCTCAAAGTTAATGGTGGACGATAAATTTTTTCCCTTCCATATCGATCTCATAACTGCAATAGGGAAGTGAACATTCTCCCCGCCATACGAAAGGTTTGCATCTTCGGTCCTGTTGTAAGTCTCAAACTGCGCTCCTTCGGGAATTCGTCGGGATGACCATATACGATCGAAAGGGTCTGCGGGATACCTGCGCGCAGAAAGAACCAAAACGTCAATGGTCACCATGCACTTCACATGCTGGACAGCATGATGAGGTAAAGCTAGTCTCGCTCCACTCTTCTTCAATTCGCATTCGAATGTGCACCTGAGAGGAGGCGACTCATTATCAAGTATTCCTCCGAAGTCCAAACGATCAACCAGCATCAGATAGCTCGACTGTTGCATTTTACTCGACTGACCATATCTGCCATAATAATCTAGACTGAACGGACGCAACTCCAGAGTTGAGATAGCTGGCATCGAGGACTTGTCTTCTAAGGGCACGAGACAAACGTAAAATCTGTCATCCATTGAAGAGACGACCAGCTCGATTGTCCGCGGCATAGATGGCAGTAGCTCAATTGTTGTGATGTAGGTGGAGTCGACAGTAAGGTAGAACCGAGTGGCATATCCCGACAATGCTTTTTCTTTCAGAGTCAAGTTTTTGCTGGGAAACATTGCTCGAAGAAGGTAATTTCGTGATCCTTCAGTTGCGTTAAATGCAATCGGCAAGTTGTAGCAAAACTTCGAGCGTGTCATTTTGTTGGGAAGGAACACCAGAGCAGTTTTTAACTGTTCGCCATTCGGCAGGCTAGGTGAGCTCTCGTTGTACTGAACGTCGGCGGTGTAGATCACATTATCTTGATAAAGACTTTCGAATGACTGCAGATGAGTCTCATCAGTGATCCACTGGAGTGAGGTGATAGGGTCTACTCCACTCAAGCCGCCACAGCTGATGCTTATGAATCCTAAGTTGCAAGATATTCATCAGTACTATCAGACTGGCCTGATTTTGTATTTTCATAACTTCACACAATCGCCAATAATTCGCATTGCAATATCTCGTTGGAGCTGCAAGCTTAAATTGATCTAAGTTTCTTGATCGAATTCACCGCAGAAAACCAATTTTGCAGACTCACCTTGTGTAGAGCCCTCGGTAGACTGGGAGACGACCGGAGAAAGAATCAGGTTATATAATAAGACCCCAAAAAGAATTCCAGCCAAGAAATTTCTGCTTCTGCTCCCCAATTTCATTGGAAGCTGGCTTGTGAGTTGCAGAGAAAATTGACACAAAACATTGCCGGCCATTAGTTGCCAGATATCACGGCTCCAGCTTGGGCAGATATCTGCAGCGTAATGAGACAGCTCAGTGATATGAGTGCTCCACATACTGTGCCCACAGCAATGAGCATACTGAATATGACGAGGTCCATATAGAATACCTCAATTGATTTGAAAATTGATGTTCCTGAAGCTGATATGTAGCTAAGAAGAAGAATAAGGCAGATGTTCATGCATGACTACAGATGCCTGCAGGTCGTGTCTAAGATATCCCAACAGATTTGTGAACTTGGTAAGTGCATCAAACTTGGTGAAACGGCCAGAAACTTTCACGCCTGTCAAAACGGCGCAAGAAGTAAATCAGCCGGACTGGGCGGAATTTTTGTTTTCACAGCTTCACACAATTCCCAGTAAATCGCATTTGGAATCTCGTTGTCAATTCTCATGCAGAAGAAATAATGGAACGAGCAAAAAAATCTTTGCCTATTCAGGCTCTCAATGGAACTGCCAGGTATAATTCAAATGACTTCTCCGCTAGATTCACCATGGGAAGCCAGTTCACAGACTCACCTTCTGGAGAAGCCACAGTAGACTGCGAGAGGACCGGGGAGAGAATAAGGTTCGAGAGTAAGACACCAGAAAGAATTCCAGCCCAATGCATTGTGCTTCTGCTCCCCTATTTCAGTCGCAGAGATAATTGACACAAGAAAAACCCCGCCATTAGTCGCCAGATATCATGGTTCCAGCCTGGGCAGAAATCTGCAGCGTTATTACACACATCAGTTATATGCTATGCTCCGCATACTACGCCCACGGCAATGGAAGTACTCCATTTTGACACCGTCATTCGCTAACTAGGTCGACACGTACAACATATCTCTTTTGATGAGAGTTGATGTTCACAACGCTAGAATGGAGTTAAGCAGATGTTTGAGCCGGATGTTCATGCATGAAACAAAATTCGAAATTGGTCATATTGTGATCACCTGCAGAATCTGTCTAAGACAACCCAACAAATGGTAAACGTGGTTAGAGCATGAAAAGAGCGTTCAGCTTCGGACACCACGTGGTGACGACCATGGCGAATCCACGCCTGTCAAAACGGGGTATTTATCTTTGATAAAGACTAGAATCATCCCCTTACTATCATTGTGGCACCAATGAACATCTTCAAGCGTTGGAGATCACAACGATTGATGTTTAGAGCACCTTTCTCCATCTCCATGAGTCCAACGTACTTCATGTTGATCTTTGGGATGCGGGTATCGACAGAAACAGTTCGGAAGTGATCATTTGTTTAAGCAATCCAAGCTACTTGAGTTTGGAGCAGGCAAGATCTGAGCCAGGTCAGATTGTACGAAAGTATTTTCGCTTACAAGATGATTGTCGTCGGAGGCTGCATCGAGCGAAGATGATGAGTTTGTGGAGGTGTTGCTCCCAGTTTAGTCTCTTCAGTTTCTAGGCTCGTCGAGAAGATGTTGTGCATTTGAAATCCCGCCAACAGGAGCTGAACCCCAGGAGCATCGAAATGTTTACCGTCGGCCATAGTCTTGTTTCATGTGTTTCATTGAAACCCACAGGCAATTTGTAATAGAATTACGATCGAGCCTTGCCGTCAGGATTACCCAGGTTGAAGCCAGAGCAGTTTTTCCGGGAACAACGGTTGGATTGAGGTTTACAGTAGCGTTGATCGTGACACCTTCTTCAGCCAGTTGCACCACTTCAAATCCAGGGTGGTGTCTGGGTCCGTGTCAACCTCACAACCACAGTTGATGTTGATGCTGATAAAGCCTGAAACCAATCATCTCTTAGAAAGCAGTGGATGCAGAAATCAGAACCTCACACGCAGATTACAAAATGTGCTAAGACTATCCAAATACTTCCAGAAAATTCTAATTCCCTAACCTTACCTTGAATGCATTGCAGTATGATCAGGGGAATCTCCATAGGAAGCTACGAGAGTGGTTCATTTGCTCATAAACAAAAGCTTCCTATACACCCTTCCTGCACCCCAAAATCTTAGGACTAATAGCAGCCTTCAAAAGCCCATCTTTCTGGCAATCGTATATTTGTTAGGAGCAACGAAAGACGATAGGACATGAAATTTGAAGTTTCAACTTTTGAGAGTGAGACGAAACTGGTAGAAATGCGAGGTGAAGCTGAGAAGCGCAGTAACAATCAGCCACGCTAAACTTGCTATCCCGCCTTCCAGTTTCATTGTTCTTCTTCAGGATACGAGATGTCTATGCGCTACGAGCACCAGGACTTTACAGCCTTGACGAAAATAAACACATGCTCATTTACTCGTATTGGACAGTGGAACATCCGTTAGAATGAAAAGGATTTCCAACATAACTTCTCAACTTCAACTAATGTTGTGAAATAAGCGCAACTTTGATGATGTGAAGTACTTTGATTCTCCAATTTTCTCGGGTAAGTGATTTGGGTAAGTGATCAGGGGTGAAGTTACTGTCTGAGATATTTTTTACAGCAAAATGGCCATGAAAATCGTGAAAGTTGCTTCTTAACGTGGTTGGTAGTTGGTGTGTAAAAGTCATCGTGGAGACTTTGCAGATATGCAGACTTCTGTTGGCGGCACCTTCTGCGACTACTGCATGCGAAGGAATTTCGACACAGCGTAGGCATACGTATGGCCTGGGTTTTAGACAAAGCTCGTTATAATGTTGCCTTTTGACGTGGTCACTAGTTCCAGTTGAGAGGGCACCATGGAGCTTTTGCAGCTCGGCACAATTTTGTCAGCAGTACCTTCTGAGAGTACAAAAAACTACGTGGAAAAATTGACCCAGCGTTGACCTGGTGTCTATGGCGTAAAAGTCGTTCTTGGGGAGGGGGGGGGGGGTCAATCTCGGCCACGCACATATTGACCCCACACTTGCTTTATGCTGTCTATCGGAACGTGGCCATTAGGATATTTTTCTTTCAGACCAGAACGCCGAGAAGAATAAGGAGGACCAAGCAATAATGCTTTCGGATGGAACCTCATCGAGTCGTACACGCAGGACGCCATCGGACCGCGTTTTTCCTGGCGTGATGATTCTTCGAGCTTTGTGGACTGTCCCTCTTATTGGATGTTAAAAGAAGGCCCGTCCTCTCTGAATTATTTAAAGTTTCTTGAAGTTAAAGATCCAACTTTTACATCCACTCTAGAGAGCACCTCTATGAAGTTCATAACCATACAAAACTTCATTCACTAAATTTTAGGAGAAAAATTGATCGTCGACCAACCTTAGCGACAATTAGCTGCACGTATTTATGGAATCTACTAGTTTGGTGCTCGTGCTGCTGGACTAACTTTGAGTTTGAGCACAACGCTAAAATTGGAGAAGAGGTAAAATATCGGGTCGGAGGGGCTGACAGTGACAGGCTGACCTCAATAACACATAAAACATCGGTATAATTTTGCTTTTATGGTATTTTCAGCATCGGTATGGTGTAGTCAGACCCTTCGTGGAGGAACAACCAATCATCGGTGGCACGGGAGCTTTTCGAATGGCCACAAATTGCATTCTCGCTTAGACCGTCTTTGCTACTTTTCAAGTAGAAATCATTCAAATAATTAGGTCCGTCAAGAAGCTATAGGAATCGGCGAAACTGATTGCCAGTGACATCTATAGTTATAGATATTGCGGTCGTGAGAATAGAGGTGAAGAGATTTCTTTCTCACCAAACAGCTATCGCGATGCGATCGAGAAAATATACAGCTCTACTTCGTATTTATTATCGGTGAAAGCTGAAATTGGTTGAATCGTATCAAGTCTGCTGTCTAAAGCTTCCAAAGTAAGTCCGGGTGGCCTAGAGAGTGGCGTCTACAAAATTCCATACACAGAGGGGTTATGGGAACTTATTTACGTAGATGTATCCTATAGCCATTACCCACCCATTGTGTCATGGGTACGGATGTATATTGGATACTCATGGGGTTTGGGTATCCATTGCAAGACTATCGTGAAATTTCTTTGTGGTTTCTGGATTCTTTGCATTTCTTGTAACAATGGGTGGGTACTTCCAATAATTTTTACAACTATAAAGAATAAAATTAACTACTTGAAATTAAGATTATTATTACTCCGATTATTCTTATCTTAAAATTTTTAAAAATGATCTTAATCGAATTTCAATACCATTTAAATTCATGCTCATCATGTAATAAAATGACTACAAAATTGATTTTTGCTATTAAATCTTTTAAGAAATTTTAGTGTAAAATAAATATTTAAATTCTTACTAATTTTCTTTACAAAAAAAAAGCTTTTAATTTTAAGCTAAAAATTTCAATAAGTCGAATTTAGAATATTCAATTATAAATTTTGATTTTTAATATCGAGAAATGTTAAAAAATAGAATTTAAACTAAATCTAAAATACAGAAAATAAAATTTAAGAGGAATAAATTTTAAAATTAGAATTTTTTTACATGTAATCTAAGTATCTTATTACCTATCCAATCGTTATTTGGATATTTGAAATTCTTGAAATAATATAACATGTAGGACAAGATCAAATTAAGATCTTAAATAAATTCTTTCATGCCTAACACACTAAGATTTTCACATGACATATGTTTCTTCACATATTTTTAGTTTGACAGAACAAAAAAATATTCAATCCGATTTGTTTCAAAAATTATGTACATATATCATTCATTCTTAATTTAAAATTCAGTTGAGTAATTTGCAAAAGTAAAAGAAAAGATTTTAAGATCATTTTTCTTGTATTGAAGGATTGAATAAAAATAAAATATCAATCAATATGTCTTATGATGATTGTAAATTGGAAGACAGAATTTGAAATATTGGAGTTTAGTTAAATATTATGCTGATACAGAAATGAAACAAAACAGAAATGATCAGGTTGAAAGGAATTCGATACATCTATATCGTTAAGCATACAGCTCAGCAGTATGTTTATACTATACGATCAAATTATAAAGATTAGGCTTGTTTTTTGCTCCTGTTGAGTTTTTAAAAGTTATCAGTAAGATAAAATTTCCAAAACTGGTATAGTTCAAATTGTAGAGCTAAAATAAATTTCCAACAGGTGGACTAAAAGCGTAGGAAGTCGGCTAACTTCCGGATCAAGCTCAGGACAAAAGCACAACACAAAGTAAATATTAAATCATCATTAATATATTGTTATGTTTTTGGTTCTCAACATTTAGAAAGCTAAAACAAGATAATAAATTTTTTAATATTCATTAAATAAATCTTGAACTTTCTTTTGAATTTGGAAATTAAAATCTATTGTAGTTAATTTTAGATCTATTGTAAGAAAATGATTGAGTTTTGACGATAACTTTACCTTAAGATTAGAATATTTTGATGGTTTTTGCAAGCTGACAATATTTTCTTTGACTTCTTTCTACTTGCATAGAATGTGGTCAATCTATGCCCTGTTGTTTTGTACTACTAATCTAGTACTTTATAGTGAGAGAATATAAATTGAAGAAACAACAACAGTGCTTAGTTCTAGGGGTGATTGGGATCTCGACAACATTGTCTTGGTTAATTCACACTAGTTTAGAAAAATAAGTATAAAGAATACAGAAATTTTATATTTTAATGAAGGGAAAATAAATATAATTGAAATCAGCATCTATATATCTTCGAGAATTCATCAAGCATCTTGCTGTTATGTGAGAACAATGACACCTAATACTTTCGAAAACCCATTTCCTTACGCTCTATGAACCAAAGAAATGATAATATTTGATCCTTCGTGGAATAATCACATGGCAAATTTGTCAGGAAACGAAAGGTTCACACCCATATGAATCTCAAAGAAAAGTACACGGCCAACTCCTAAGCGGTCAATCTCGAAACACAAAAGGTTCAGAAGTTCGAACCATTTGTGGACAATACGGACAACCTTGGGGAAATAATTTATCTCAGGACGATTTGTATTTACCTTTTACAGCAATACTCTCAGCCTTTGGCGATACTTTACATTTCAGAAATACATACATTAGTGACGCATCCACTAAGTTGACAATATACGGCATAAGTTACAACCTACCTGTCTTCCTAAGGCTGAAGGACCTAAATAGCTGACTATATACATAATGGGCTACAACCTTCCTTTCTTTCTAAAGCTGATGGCCTTAATAAGCTGACTATATACATAATGGGTTACAACCTTCCTTTCTTTCTAAAGCTAATGGCCTTACGGACGCAACTCCAGATAGCTGGCATTCAGGACTTGTCTTCCACAAGGGCACGAGACAAACGTAAAATCTGTTATCTAATGAAGAGACCACCAGCTCGATTGTCTGCGGTATAGGAGGCAGTAGCTGGATTGTGGTGATGTACGTGGCATCGACAGTAAGGTAGTACCGAGTGGCATATCCCGACAATGCAATTCCTTTCAGAGTCAAGTTTTTGCTGGGAAACATTGCTCGAAGAAGATAATTTCGTGATCCTTCAGTTGAAGGAGCCTTGCGCTCACGATTCCCCGGGCTAGAAAGCTCGAGCAGTTCTCAGCGCTTCCGCACTGCATTTGGGTTCAAGGGTTCGACTGAGGCTTATAGTGACACCTTCTTCAGCCACTTCTACCGATTCTTGGATGAAATCTCTCTCGCTTCTCCACTCCACTCCAGGGTCCGTGCCAGCATCTTTACTGCAATTAATGCAGCCTGAAAAATGAACTCTTGTACGTCAAGATATCTGCGACCCCAGTGTATGCAGAAATTAGAACTTCTGAGGCAGAAGACATATGTGCAAAGACATGCCAGGTTTTCCCAGAAAATGCTCTTTCCTAAACCTGACCTTGAGTGCAACGCAGTTTGATATGCGAAGCGTGAAGCAGATATGCCAAGTGTGAAGCTACGCAAGCGGCTGATTAAGCGTCCTGTCGCTGCCCAGATAATCTTTCCCATACTTGCTCGTAAAGACAAGCTTCAGATACACCGAAAATCTCAGGGCTAATATAAGCCTTAAAAAGCACGCCTCTCTCGCCATCGAATAGGTTTATATATATAAAAAAAAATTCCATACTTTCAAGATTGTCTTAAAAACCTCTGCGTCCGCCGTTTATCTTCCGACGAGTGATCATCGCCTAAGTAAAGAAGTATTATAATCAAATGGTATGTACGAGCATCAATGAGTTGTACTCTCAACGATTTTCATACCACAATCCGCGTGGGTCACACATTCTCGTTCTGATTGTTTTTCAACAACTTTCCGCATAGCAATTTCAGTACAATAATGTAGGTGCCGGAGTAGATATATTTTATCAGCGTACCCGAAGCTACGATTATTGTACGGATTTGTGAGATCTTCACGAATCAATATGGTGGGTAGCCACTGTCTCGATCAGTTGGATCAGTCGAACCAA